TCGCTTTAGCAAACCCCCCCCATGACTCCCGGGCACTTTATCGAGCTCAGCAGCAGGCAGAGGATGCACTAATCTTCCTCTCTCTCCTCTCTTTATTTAGAGTTAGAGATATTTTCCTGCCTCTTTTTAACTCACAGGGTTTTTCTCTTTCTCCCCACGCAGACCCTCCTAATGAGATCTCCCTGCAACATTATATAAAAGATCTAATAATGACAGGTTGCATATTATCTTAGATTTTCTTACTGTGCGAAATGACAAGGGTTGTCAGTTTCTCCATCTCCTTATAAAAATAGACATCAACCGTACGGGTTCGCAGGCCCAGACACAACATGATTGGATTTCTTTTAGTTTGTTCTCGTGCAGAGGAAACATTGTGTCCTTGAGGGAAATCAAACACTTGTCTGGCCGGTTGACTGTACACACAGAGGCCTTCTCGTCATTTATTAAATCTCCCTCTCCTGCTTGGGAGATGTCAACTGGATTTTATGTGTTTACGCTCATCACTTTGCTGGGAATTGGGATTCCCTTTGGTGTGTGCTGTCCTTTTCACAGCGACACACACATAGACACAGAAATGAAAAGAGCAGTTTTCCCTTGATTTTAATTAGAAGGTAAATTCCACCAAAAGGTCAGTATGGCTGTTTTCATTTCTTAGCATTCATTAAGGCTTCTATTTAAAGGAATTTGGTGTTGATGTGTGTCGCTTTTATTCATGATCAAGTGATCTGTGGGATCAGTTTCTCTCCTGGTAGAGTAAAATATGTTTAAAGTGGCCCTTTTATGCCCATTAGGCGCTTTCACATCGGAGTACTTTTCCCAGTATAGTTCCGATATAGTTCCTAAAATGTGCATTCACACCAAAAAAAAACGGAACTAGAACTTAGTTCATGATAACCTTTCACCCCCTTTCAGTCCCTGCTAGAGAGCAGGTACTTTCGTGCGGAGCACAAAGAGTTCCCATTCTGATTGGCTGGGCGGATTGCAAACAAAGCCCCATAAAAAATCCAACAAGGTTTTGCTGAGCCGCCCATTTTATCTTTCCTCGTCCATAGCATTATTAGCCATTAGCTCACCGCACAAACGGAGAGAGACTAACTTATGCAACACAAAAGAAAACATGGAGTGCGTGGAGATGAGAGTGTCGGCGTCTGGCATTACTCCCAGACTGAGCGAGTCCCCAACTCCGCGGACTTCCGGCCGGGACTTCGGTGCAGCTAGTCAGTCTACCCGCTGCATTGCACATGCTGCCGAGATGTGCCGCCATATGGACAAGCTCCGTACGGCACCCATAATAGGACACTTGACGTCTAGACGCGGCTGACCAAATGCATTGCCGCATGCACGATGTTTAAACTTAAGCTGACTATTATGCCTTAATATGGAAAAAAAGGCACCATAGCCTATAAAAAAACATGTGAAAGTTTTTATGCTTAAAATACCAAACAGATCAGCCCATGCTAGCCATGCCTTCATACTGCTCAAACCGCCTCTTTTGCAGCCCTGTATGGCGCTATTTCCACTACAGCCGGAGCTCGCTTTACAGCGTGGCGAGCCTTGCGGGGCCTCGCTTTTTGGTTGCGCGCGCGCGCTTTCCACTTAGCCTATACGTAGACCGTGAGCGGGTACTATTTTCAAAGTTTTCTGGGCCCCATAATCGAGGCTCTTCGGGCCAACAACAGCTGAAGTATGCCTAAACTAGAGAGGAATCACTGGCAATGCGGGCTACAACTACAACAAGATGAACAAATTGACCGTGATTTAATGTCGTAATACCACGTTTAGAAGTTTAAACACGTCAGGCAGACTTGTTGTCATGATGGCAACTTTCTGTGTGTCCCCCCGCCGAATGAGTCAGTATCGGCACCAAATATGTATCTGCTCGCTTTTACTCCCGTTAAAAGATTGGGTACGGAGGAAAAGAGAAACGTTTTATTTTCTGATGCTGCGTGAGCTTCCCCGGCCACCGGCCGAACACCATATTATGTGTAAAGCCATCAAAAAGTCCTTTTGCTCATGATAGGCTCCCCCTTTTAACGGTGCACGATATGCATGCATCTGACAGAAGAAGACTTTTGCTTTTTACAACAATTTGAAGAATATACATGTCTAAAGGTGACTTAATGAGATCTATGAATAACAGAGATTTGTTCTTGAATCAAAACTTTTAAATGGAAAATGGTTTTATGTAATTTTATTTAATTTTAATAAAATGAAAGACATTAACATTAATTAATTAGAGTATACATTTATAAGTTGCCATCACATTTTTGCAGCAGTTTACAGTAAATCTCTTATTCAGTAT